CACAGGCAGGAGTTCAGTCTGCTGGTCAAACTGGGAGCAGTTCGGTGACTGGGCCTTCTGGCTACCCACAGGTTAAAGCAAATGATAAAAATGATCTAACAGTGCAATAGAAAATACATCCCTGATTCATTCACATTCAGGAGAAAAACAAAGCAAAACATATCATCACCATATGGGGGTATTGACTTAGCATCTAAACAGACATTGTGGAGATTAGCTGCGAAACAGAAGTCTGAAGAAAAACAGCTCCAGCTCTGATCTTTATGGATCTGTCCTGACGAAATCCGCCGGTCTCGGCGCTGGATTAATGTACTTTCAGTCCAATTCAGGTTCGCTGTTATATTAAACAAATTATTTTAATCTACATAAATTATACGAAACATTTTACAGACAACTGACGTACCTTAAGCAACCATGTTTGACCACAGACAAACAGCGACTTGTCTTGCGAACTTCTACGTAACCATGGCAACGATAAACAAACGGCAAAAGCGCCCGTTACAGGTTTTTCATTGCCTCTCCCTCTTTAGACAAACAACACGGTTTTAAAAAAGTTAGCTAAACTAAGAAAAATAATCAGAGTAGTCAACTGGGGCAATTTAGTTACAAAGGAAATATTTCTTGGTTGTTTAGAAGTTTGTTTCGCCACGGAAATGCAACAGTAATGGCCACAAAGTCAAGAAATTCTGCTCGTAAATTTACGTTATTATCTTTAATTCTTACCTTTGAAAAGTATAGGCAGCGGGTCCACTTTGTACTGTAAGACGGTTTAAAGTAGTCCACGCAGCACGTTCTTTCCACTGCCACTTTCAAGACGGCGGCGACGTAAGTAGGACTCAGCGTATACGTATTCATGCGAGCGATTTCTCAGGTCTCTCACTGGGTCATACCTCTTTTGTAGCGTTTTTGTAATTTGTAATTGTAATCTGACTTTGAATCTGTCATCTCTGAGCTACATATCGGCGCTCTAGTGTTAGGCAAAAATAAATAAATAAAATAAAATAAATAAAAATAAAACGATCAGTAAACACCTTTGTCATGTGGTCAAGTCGCACCAGTTCTTCGTCTCTGAACAGGAGGCTGCGGTTAAGAGCGCAAGGCACTTAGGATGAATCCACAACAATAGATCAAAGAGGCTGGATGCAGAAAAGAGACACAATGTCAGGGCAGGAAATTTTCCAGCTCAATTAATTTTGAATGCCATTAACTAAACCATGTCAAAAAAAAAAGAAAAAAAAAAAGCTAAGATTCAGACAACAGTGATTTAGACAGCACTATATGCTGCCTCTCATTTAATCTGCTGCTTTCTTACTATATTTGTCTGATTTATTCATCCACTTTTCTTCTGACCAGACCAACTAAAGGTCTGTGACACAGCTAACTTTCAAGGTGTAATTCTCCCGTCTTTCATCAGTGTGACAGTAGCGTCAGACATCAGAACTCCAACAATTACCCCATTTTACTGATGATCACATGCGCTGTGGACTCATAGTGAAGCATCCGCTTGCAGAGTAGCTGTGTTTGAAGCAGGAATGCATGGGTGCTGCTTCACTTTACTTAGGTAGGATGAAGAAAAACGTGAAAACAGAAAGATGAGAATACGTAGGCCGACATGGCGAAATGACAAATTCTACTGCATGATATTATTCATTTAAAATGGATTACATTTGTTTTCTTAATGGTTTTATTGGTGCTAGTGGCCTTTACTTGAGTGTGGTCAGACAGGAAACTGGGTAATGAAAGAGGGGAAAGACAAGGTCATCAGGCCGGGACTCAAGCCTGTGATGGCAGCGTTGAGAACTAAGGCCACCGCAGCTCATCCCAAGTTACATATGTGTGAAAAAATATATAAACTGTAATGTTTATAGTGGAGTTTAAATGTGTGAAATGTGTCTATGAAGAGAGGAAAAGAGGTTGGATAAGTTTTAAGTAGGCTAAATGAATGGGGTGAGCTTGAGGTAATATTGCTCCGTAAGGAATAACAAGTGCTTATTATGTGGGTAAGGATTTTAAATACATTAGTCAGAGAGGAGTTTTCCAGTTTCTCCTACTGTCAGACTTGTGTATGGGTTTTAAGCAAAATTATTGCGATTCTACAAATGTGGAGAAATTGGGCAATAGTGTCACACACTGTTATTGATGATTACTGTTTCAGACTGTGTGAAACCCCTGCTATAGATCTCCTCAGGTTTAATGACTATGCTGTACAAAACAAAAGGACATATATAAACCGATGTTCGTTTTAGAGCCACATCAGACACAAAAAGATAAACGGTTTGTGCATAGAGGGGGATCACATCTTTTGAAAACTTCAGCAATGTGTGGGTGGGCATGTAGCCACTATTGTTTCATAATGAGAAACCAGCATGACACTTGGACAACATCCGTGTTTAACTAGCAAAACCTAACCGATCTTCTTGATTTTCTCACTTTGTGTGTTTGCTCAGCTTCCGCAGAGTAGTTTAACTTAATTTAGTTTATTTTTGTCATTAAGAAGATAGGAATAAGCAAAAACTAGAACAAATTGTGCAGCCAGTAAAGGATGGCATAACTAGACTCCCAATCAAGAATTTGGAACTTGGAAGAAAACTCTGAATAACACTTGCCAAATATAAATACAGTTTAAATCGCATGGTGATGCACTGAAAATGTTAAACCTGCCAGTTTCTCTGTAAGCATACAAACAAATAGCAAAATAAAAGTACAACGTAGAATGTGAAGAACTATAAACCAGAATGGCTGAAACACAGTATTTGAAATATATATATATTTAAATGAACGTCTTAGCATCGTCTCTCCTCAGAGCTCCAGGTCTAGGAGGGGAACCCAGACTGGCCCGTTCATTTCTGAAACCTCCCCTCAAGTCTGAAAAGTCTAGAAATAAGACGAGACAGAAGTAGTTCAACCCAGATCTATTTCTGGTTCACAATGTTGAGGTGTTCAGGGAATCAACTGATTTCCCTAAACATCCATCATCTGTGAGCAAGTAGACAACCCTAGCAATGTAAATTGGGTGTCTAATGTTTAAACTTAGGTAGAGATGTTTTTAAGCCTTGTGGACTGTAGCCCCCGAGCATCTGGCTCGTTTTGATTAATTTCATCGATGGCCAATTAAGGGAGATTGGATATATGGCCTCTGTGTTACATTCCTTAAACTCTTCCATAATATCTTTAATTGTCAGAAACTTTTCAAAGTTCTCTTCCACAGCTGATGCTGATAGTGGAGTTCTTTAAAAAAGGCAAATGAGAGACCTGTTTACAAGCTCTGCAAATCTCAGCCTAATCTCTCCCTATGCTGTCCCAAGCACACAGATATAAGCCAAAAGCTTTCCAGTCTAGCTCCTCTGCAGTTCCTGTTACAGATGTTCCTCTGTCTATCCACCGTCTCCAGAGGCTGCAAAAGCAGCACACAAGCCCAGCAGGCTTTCAGGCCTCATTAGGATGTGACTCACCAGAATGAGAGGCTTTTGGTCGAACCCCCCACAGTGAAGCTTTCATCGGAAATAGAGTCATAAGTTGTAGAAATTACAGTGCTTAATCTCCTATTAGCAGTAGATGTGACAGTGTTTCAGAGAAGTTGGGTAGGGATGGACTCTCATTTCTGAGAAAGGATGAGAGGAAAGTAAAAACGAGAAAGCAGGTCTCCTAGAGTTTAGTAATTAGGAAGGAAAGAAAAAAAACGCCTAATGCAGTTCTAGAAGTAGATGCAATACAGGAAAAGTTACCAGAACGTCTTAAATTTTTGTTAATATGCAAAATGTAACAACTATAGGCTATCCTTATCAGGGTGTTTCACAAAGTAACCAGTGTTTATGTAAAAGCCGAGCAAAGTGCAGATGAAAGTGTGAATCAAAACCCCGTTTTAGCAGGCTATTCAACTTGAAGTGAACTCTTAACTGAATCCCTGCCTCGTGATAATGTCTCAGCGAATGAAGCAGAAGAAAATCAATGTTGATTTAGTAATGCCTCACAGGTCAAACGTCGCTCTAAGTCCCTCTGTGGTCTTCTAAGTTGTGCTTTCGGGTGACAAACAAATGGTCTCTACATATGCCACACAGGTGACATTGTGCTTGCCATAGGCGTAGGAAGCGGGGGAGA